CTCAAATAAAATAGGGCTTGGGATGTGGCTCAGTGGTTAAGCACCCTTGGGTTCAATCCCTGGGACCAAAAAATTGAAAGGGACACAGACGATGCCACGTGTGGACGGTGTCCTAAGCGCTCTCAGGAATGGATAGGACCCAGCCAAAAAGATGTCACCAAAGACATGAGCTACACCCCGCTGGCACCAGCACAGGCACCTGGTGGCCTAGTACAAACTGACCCCACATTACTACCACCGCGGCCTACTGCCCACTATCAGCACAGCCACCTTGGTCAGAAAACAGTCCCGAGAATGGGGCTGCAGTGTGTTTTCACCACTGAGTGACAGCAGGCAACCTCAGGGAATAAGGAGGCTCCACCCTCCTGCCCCTTAAACCTGCAGGTTAGACACCTGCCTTCCCGCAGTGTGGGTCCAAAAGGACAGACCCCCRTGAGTCTCAAGCTCAGAGACAAAACAAAACGAAACCCCACAGCTTCCACTTTGAGAGGACCCTGGAGCCCAGTTAGCAGCAGCACAGCCCATGTCCCAGGGTCACCACTGGCCTGGTTAACTTTTCAAGCTCCAACAGGAAGTAACCAGGGGAGCAGCAGGCCCAAAGCCCAGCCTGCAGGGAGAAGGCAAGCACACAGCTCCCCGCTGGCCCTCAGTCCACGGTGGCACCCAGGAGAGGGGCAGGATGCTCCCCAGGCTGCAGGCTACTCCGCCATGGGGGTCCTGGGACCAGGCTGTGCTTTGGGGTGAGCAGTGGGCACAGGGACCCAAGGAGCCAGCTAGAAGCAGCCTCCTCAACTTCTGAGGGCTTCTGTTAGTGCTGCTGGGCTCACCATGCCCTTGGTGGCTGGTCAGTTGGTCTCCTGGGGAGAGACGCCAGGYGCTGACTTTTCTGCAGGGGACAGGCCATCTTGCTGCACTAACTCCCCCCCTCCCAGCGGCAGGGGGAGTACTCGGCCTTGGGGAGTCTGCGTGTGCTCAGCYGCCGCCTCAGGGAGGAGAGCTTGTCCCCCAGGGCCTTGCGCAGCCCTGCACTGTCCCTGACACAGGGCAGGTCTTGCCTGGTAGCCGGGAGTTGCCCTGTGAACATCTCCCACCGGTCCAGGGCATCCACGGCCCTGTCCACCTGCGCGAGCTCCTCCTCGGCCACTTCCCGTTCCAGGGCCTGGATACATGTGGCCAGCCACCGTCCGTGCTCCTCGATGGCCTCCACAGGGCCCTCAAGCTTCGGCAGAGCCTCTGAGGCCACCAGGGAGCTCTGCCCATCCTCGGGTCYCTCAGGGAAGGCATGACTCCATGCGTCAGGGGTGAGGGGCTCTGACAGGCTGGTGACAGGCTCTGAGTCGCTCTCACAGCACATGCCAGAGTC